TACGTATTTGAAATAAATAAATAAATCCAGAAAGTAGGCTTAAGTCTCATCGGCTGGCTGACTTAAAAAACAAAACAACAAGAGTCCAAACATAAGTACTAAGTTTCTTGTATGTTTTGTATAATATTTATATATTCATATAAAATTAACTAAAATGTAAAACTTTTAAACTTAGTAGGTTAAATAATAAATAATAATAAATTTCTCCATGAGATATGCCCACGAGTAGTTCAATACTGTAACTTGAGTTATGAATTTGCCATGTGATTTACAGCTTGTGTTACATGATTATTAGTTAGACATGTTCAAAGAGCAATAAAATAGTAAATTAAATAAAAATTGATGTAAATTATGAACCTTAAGCATTCATTGTAGAATTAAAAATGGGTAATTGAGATTTATTTTGTATTTTTGTGGTGGTTACAAGGTGAGTCAAATTGACCGAGTCCATTTCAGTTATGTTTCGTTATTTAACCAAGCAAGTTCTTAATTTTTTACATTTTAGTTAGTTTTGTGACATAATCTACATCAATAAATAATATACATTAAAAAATGAAATTTAGAACTGGAGGTATGGCATTTGTACTTGATAATGTTCATCAATAAAATCATTTTTCATCACACTATATTGGTTTGGTTGTAATTAAGCACAAAGCTACACAATAGGCTATCTGTGATGTGCCCACAACATGTATTGAAACCCAGTTTTTTAGCATTATAAGCCTTTGGACTTACCACTGTGCCACTGGAGGGTATTTTGTTTATCCACAAAATAATTCTTGTTGTTTTCAGATATGCATTTTAGAACACAAAAATATATCTAACACTAAAATAGAATGCCCCCAAACTAATATAATTTAACTGGCCTTCTAACTAAGCTATAAATAGGGTACAACAATTCTGTTAGCTGCTTGGAGCTGAAGAACAGCACTGCACAAAATGAACATCAAGCAAGGTATGCACTAGAGGAGGTAAAACAAAATAATCATGTAATGAATCTCATAAAAAAACATAATTTCTTTATATTGGTTATAAATATGTGCAATAGGAGTGTAAGAGAAAATTAAAGAAGTCTTGAAAAACAGGGAGAGATTTGAGGTCATTTTGTGTGTGTCAGTAAAGCAAGAAAATTGGGCATTAAATATCTATACTATATGTTTCTAATTAATTGGAAGCTCCAAAGCCTATATCAGAATAGAAATAAATAACAAAATAAGGAATTCAGAGTGAAGACAAGTCACGTGACATGGGGAAGTAAAAACTGAGAATTTATTCAAATATTTCCTTTCTAAGTTAAGAAATTAATGTGTAAATAGTGTAAAAATTTGAATTATAAACTTTTCTTTTGCCAAGTTTATTGACATACATTGATAATAAATTTTTAAGTAACTCTATAAAAGGTCATGACATGCACATTCTAACCCAGTCATTTGCATACAGTTAATTACAGACATTTCAGAATTCATAGGCTTTTTAAGTGTACAGGTGTTGATGTGGACAAAAGTTTAGAAAGAGCACATTAAAGTGATTAATAGGTTTGCATTTTACAGTATAGGCTGGAAGGAACTGTAGAAACACACATTCATGAGATATTAATTAATCAAACAACTTAAGTTGTAATGAACCAAGCAGTGTTTAAACAACATATGATAAAAACCAAACTTTTGTTTTACTTTTTCAGTGCTTCCTATCTAGCTAGAAACAGTTGCAATTAGAGCTGGGTGATTAATTAGCAGGCTCATTAATCAATTGCATTTGATTAATTGATTAACATGCCATGTCTCCTATGACCTGTGCAAGAAAAATAAATTAATATATGATAATGTTTTAACTTTTTCAACCACTGCATTATTTGAAATTGGTATTAATTTTCTTATTTTACATTGTTTTGGTTTTTGTAAAATAATTATTGAATTAGTCATGATTTTACATGATAAACCTCTTCTGAAGGTTGCCATTTGCGAAAAACATATTTTGACAATATGTCAAAAAATTTTCCTATAACTTTTATAGACATTTGTTATTTAGCAGATGAATTGCTAATATTGACTAAATATCACTATGTGATTGCTATTGTTTGTTTTTCAAATATACAGTAATCCCACTTTTTTGTATATCAAATAGATTGATAATTAAATAATGAAAACATGTTTTACTCTCACAAAAGGAGTAATAATGTTTTTATATAAAACATGTCAATTACAGATAATTAAGTAGTTAGTTAGACAATTTATGTATGTTGTTTGAATATGATGAACATAAAAATGATAATCAAGATTTGAGCCATCACATACTCATTAAAGAGTGAACTTATCTGATTTGATTACAATGAACAAGATACCTTTATTAAGCTTTGAGCAATCTCCAGTCATGTTACTTCCTTGCTTCATTCTGTATAGGTAAATTACTTAAACATGATGATAACAAAACCTTCTACAAACATTTTATTGTGTTAAACTATTAATAAAGTTTTATATGTTACCCATTCAACCCATCTCTAAACTGTATAAGCTTACCTACCTTATCTCAGTTTGTCTGATTTCTTCTTACTAAAGACAATTTCTGTAGCATTCAAATGGATATAATTTAACACACAAGTACTTTCACAATTCGCAATGAAAGGAACATTTACAAAAACTACAAAAAACTCTTAACTTGCATATATTTATTAATATATGATTGTCTAATTCTTGCTCTATCCAATAATATTTAAACTTATTTTAACAGCTTTTTACAAAACTATGTTTCATTAGTAAATGATTAAACCACTTGATGTTGCACCATAGCAAGGTTTCATACATGGTCTATACAAAAACTGAGGGAAATCTTTGAAAATCAAAAAATGGGTAATATATTGTCAAGGGGTGATAGGTTCTTAGTAAAAATAGTTATCCTTTGGGATAGGCAAAAACATTCTTAAAGGCATCTACAAGTAGCTTGTTTTGTTTACAGGCAAAACTTTGCAGTTGTGCAGAAATGAAAATATCAGCTTTTTTCTTCATAAATTACATTAAATAAGAGTAAGAATGTGACAAATTTCCAATCTAAAATTCTTTTGAATTCAAACTGTTTATAGGTTTAGAAGTAAAATATAACATTTCCTTAAAAATTTATGTGAAAATATATGAAAAGTTAGAGAAAATCCTCTCTTCAAGTACAATAATCAAGGACTAAGTTAATTTTTACACTCCAGATAATATGTACCTTAATCATGAATTATTGTATGTGACGATGTTTTTCATATTAAATAAAAGATTTTTTCAAACATATCCATAAAATGCTGAAAATATACACCTGGAAAAAAGTTAAGCACCCCCGTGTTTTTTTCAAGTGATTCAGATTCGACATTCTTGTGA